CTGGTGCGAGCCCACTCCGTCCTTCGACACCGCGAACAGCAGCAGGCGCCAGCCCAGTATCTCGCCCATGGGCGTCTCCGTGTCCGGCCGCAGGTACTGCTCGCAGATGCTGTTGATGTGCTCGAGCGTGCTGCCGGCGCCCGACCTCTCGAGGTATGCGGCCGTGCTGAAGATGAGCAGCTGCACAGCCCAGATCAGGCCGGACAGGCAGCTGTTGAAGTTGCCCGGCTCCTTCCACGACTTGGTGCGTGGCTTGACGCTCAGCATCGCGCAGAAGCTGAGGAGCGGCGAGCTGAAGCGGTCGCCGCCGAACTCGTGGCAGACGAGGGCCATGCAGAGGGATCGGAGGGCGTCGTTCAGCGCTAAGCGGTCTCCGTCGGCAGCGCACTCCAGGGCGGCCTCCCAAGCTGTCGTCTGCTCGTCCGTCAGCCGGATCCGGTCCTCGGGGCGCCTGCCCTGGTCCGCGCTCAGAGGTGGCGTGAAGTGGCTGCCGCAGTAGGCGACGCGGTAGCAGTACGCCATGAACTGCTTCCAGTACCCAAAGTTTGTGCGCAGTGTGGATGGCTCCTTCTTGGGGTCGAAGCCGCGCACCCTGCCTGCCCTGCAACTGGCTGGTGCCGATGAGGTAGGGGCGCCATGGAAGCGGCTCAGCGCGAGCTGCCTCGGCCACGTCAGCATGCAGTCCGGCCCGTCGAAGCACCAGCCGTGCACCTCAGCGAGGATCTCGTCCATGACCTCGAGCATCAGGAACAGCTCGGGCTCTCCCTCATCTGCGCTCTTCGGCAGCGCAAAGGAGGCGTGCATCTCGTCCTTCTCTAGGCCCCGCACGTGGTTCTCGATGCCAGTCCGCCTCAGCCACGGGACCGCAGCCGAGGGGTGGCTGTCGAAGCCGTGCACCTTGTTGCCCTCCGTCTTGATGTCGTCCGCTACCATGGTCACGTCCGCGTCGGCCAGGTCGAAGAAGGCCTGCTCCTGCGGCTCGAGGGCGATGGCGGCAGTAGCTGCGTCCCCTTCCGCCCTGTCGTCGTCTGTAACCACAAAGTACCGGACATGCTCGGTCTTTGCGAAGAAGGTCTGCACCGTGCATCTCTGCCACGCGCCACCCTCACTCTGCTGCGACGGCTTCTGCCCGTGCTCCCGGGACACGTGCGCCCTGATGGCCGGCCCGGACCGGGTCAGGGTCGGCCGGCCGTCGTCGCAGAGGATGCAGGAGAATGCCGGATGGCGGCGCAGTCCCTCGATGGCGATGCAGGGCTGGTCTGGCAGGGCGACCTGTCCCGGGGGCCGCAGCTCATGCGTCGCGAAGAGGTCGAGCAGGGTGCGCAGCTCCGGCCCCTTGAGGTCGTGGGGTGGGTGCCTCAGGTGCCACTCCTGGCTGGCGCGCGCGGGCATGAGGCAGGTCCCGCAGTCGCGGCAGAGCAGCACCCCGTGAGTTGCGAGGTAGGAGAAGCTGGCCGCCATCCTTCCCTTGCGCGAGCGGTGTGTGTGCGCTATTCGCCCTTCGTTGCATGCTCTGTATGCGTGCTTGATGCGCCTGCGCCGTCCCGGGGGTCTCCCAATTTGCTGCACAATAATCGCTCCACAATGGCCCGTGCGCGCGCGAGCGACAGGGGTCGCTCGCGTGGGGATTCCCAATTTGCACTACAGATACGGCCGCTTCTAGGGGTAGTGACTTTTCAAAAACAGAGAATAACAAGATCAATGCTTGGAAGCTTGGAAGTAGAAGTATGTGCTAGTCGATTTACTGTATTGCCTGCTTGCCATTTCTTAAGGAAAGGGCAATCCTATTTATGCCAAAGGAGTGTAGTTCTCTCATTTTCCATGACTTTCGATGACTAACCAGGCTTGGTAAATGTATTAGAAATCAAGTGCGACCCACAACTAGCTTGCTAATCATGTAGTGAACGTAAGAGAATCCCATAGAACCATCTCTTGGGTTCCTAGCCAATAGGAAGTGAAAAGGAGGTCCAAGGTCAGAGTACCTATAGATAAATTATGTCATAACTTAACCAATCTTGTGGGTAACTAAGGAGCGATGACGTGTAATGAATCATAGAGGGTTGTAGAAGCTTCTAGAGCTATCGTTCATGTTCCTAGGCCTCTAGTTGGTAGATATATGCCATGTGGTAGTATTGGCCCACCCCCTTAAGGAGGAGATTTTCTTAATAACTTGTTCAATGAGTGTTCAAATGATATGCCGTGATGTATGTAGCATAAACAGATGTAGTAGAAGAGTTTGCAGCAATCGTTGAGTAGTATTGCTTCTGTTGTTGGTGTGATAAGCCAAGATATGTATGGTGACTTGTAGGTTTGAGGAGGAGATTTCTAAGTTTGCTCTTGAGTTTGATAGCAAACTGAGTGCAACGAATGTCAGTATGACAGAGACGTTCCCATAAGCTCATCTGCACCCTGCCCACTAGATGACTAACCCACCTAAGACCCACCTAAGGGCCCCACACACTGTGGTTTTGTATGGAGGTGGCTCTTAAAACTCATAACTCTACACATAGTCCCCTTAGACACGCGTACACAGCTTCTTTAGATGCTCTAGCTCGCCCGCTACATTTTATACTAAGGAACTTAAGCTATATCTCTTACGCCCATGGAGTTTTGGGTTGGTGCCATTTCTGCCGAGACGCCTCATTTTTGTATGGGAAAATGGCCGACCCCACCAAAACCTAGCCCAACTTCAAACGCCTGTAACTTTACGAGCTGGTGAGCAATTCAATCAGTTATCGGCTTATATGATACGTAAGTCTCCTGTGCACAGCTTTGCCCATATCAGCGTAGCTGTAGGAGCGACGGCCGTGGAGTTTTGAGTTGGTGCCATTCGTAGCATCTTTTGTGTGGTGCTGCGCACAGACCAATTTTCTGGCACCAACTTGATGCCACGCCCGTGGCCGCGACATAATAAGGGGTAGGGTGACAAGGACCCTTACATGGCAGGACCTCAACGTCTGGCTGAGACTCGTCCGAAACGAGAATCCCGGCTGCATTGAGCAGGGTGACCATCTCTGGCCGCGCATAGAGAGGAAGATGTTGGAGATGTGATGGGAGCTCAATCTACCAGTGTAGCTAACCCTTTGTGAATACATCTATGCGCACTGGCCATCCCATTTTCCTCCTTGATCAAAATGGCCTGGTCCATGCGCTACCCATCATCCGAACTCTGCCAACACCAGTGCTGCAACACGGTTTGCCTGTATACACTTGTTGCGCTCGGCAGACCACAACCAAATGGTTCGCATCATATGTAAACTCACTCATCATGGTGACCACAATGCTCCTGCGGCCCTAGTACACGAGGTATAGGATGCCCTCTATCACGCAAAGTATATAAGCTGATTTTTAATCGTGCGTGACACTGTGCAGAGGGTGTAGCCCATGCACCGGGAAATCCATGCCGCAGGGGATCACGCCGCAGGGGGAGACCTGCTTTTCGCGAAAATTCAGCCAACCGCAATCGCGTAAATCCACGCCGCCGCCGCGTGGATTGGCATAAGTGGTAGGGTGGATTTTGGACCAGACATAACACACCGCTTCTTAGTCCAAACGCATAATCTACAGGGAGACATCTCTTCACTAGATTTGTCAATACGAAGGGCAAGGGCGATTTCTTCTAGTCTTTTCTTTGCGCTATAGGCAGTCATGCATGATGAAAAAATAAGATGGCCTTAACAACACAGCATACATCTATCCCACCTACTTAAGTGATCAAGATAACACTAGCGGGTAAGGGGGATAGTGTTACGGCTCACCCTACCCTTAGCGTTAGGAAAGGGATTAGCTAGGAAGCTGCATATGGGAAGCCATAGTAATTGGTCAGAAGGAGAAGACAAACTCAGATATCACGTGATGGACCACGCAAGACCATAAGGGTCTAGCATAGGCCAGGACCATGATGGACCACGCAGGACCATGATGGTCTATGTAGGACCATAGGGGTCCTTCATGGGCCAGGACCATAATGGACCACAACGGTCCATCATACCATTAGGCACAACGCCACTATATAAGTAGATAGTTATTTCTTAGATAGGAGCTTCGTGCTCAACTTAATATAGTATTCTTTACAATACTATAACGTGTTACTTAGAAAGCCTTTATGTCTAATCCCCTGCCTCCTCTGTTAAGTCAATCTTACGCAAGAAACCTCTGTTTCTTCTATCATTTAGAAGTCAGCGTTACAATGAGTCGTCCTTAGTAATGTGAGTAATATAAGCCTATATCATATCTTCAATTTACCAACTATAAGCCTTTTTTAAAGGGCCAAAACAGCTAATATCAAGTGGTTGGAGTATATAGGAAGAATGAGCAGGCAGGTGGAGAGTTATAATATTGTGTTGTTTATAGTACTCCTTAAACTCATCTAAGTAGTGGCTCTTATGACCATTAAGGACTAAGAGGCAATAACCACTGACACTCTAGGGCTTTGTATGCTTCTCGAAATGCTAAATCTAATCCATGCCTCTCTTGTTTATAGTCTAGCCATTTTCAGTAACAGCAATTACCTAATCACTTAGAAATTCACTATTCTTAAACTAAGATACAAGGTGGTTTTTACCTATAACAATGATGAAGGGCAGCACTACCTAACCTTAAGAATTAACACTCTAGATTAGTATAACCCATTCCTAATTACTAGGCTATACCTTCTTTGCTTTTACCCACCTGTCTAAGCTTATACGCAGTTTCCTGATGCGTACTTGCCACGTGTTATTTTACCATACAAAATTTTAGTACTGTAAATCTATTAATAAGTTGTTTATAGTTCAAGTTTTGCCATACTAATATTTATATGGTAAAAGTTTAAACCTTAATATCTCTTGTAAAACAAAGCTAGTACTAGTAGCATTTATATATATATTAGATTATGAAATAAGGAATCATAGTCTAAGAGTATTAAGCTCTAGAGCCATTATTACAAAAGTTACTAAGGTTTAAAATATGGTCACATGACCTTGATTTTGGTTGGCACCATCTCAAGCCGCTCCGGATACCTCGGACCCAAGAACCGGGGATCCTGGTGAGGGCGTTATACCAGCGTCGCCCTCTGGCTGGTTGAAGGCGTTAAACCCTCCTCCAACCATGGCGACCGGCGCACCTTTTAAGATAACACCTATTATAAACCCAGTCTTATCAAAGTTGTAGATATCCATGTTGTTAATTCTATACTTTATAATTGTGTTCTATACAAGCTCAAACCAACTATAGATAACTTCTAGATCTTTACACTTAGCCCTCTAGTAATTGTATTTGTGCTAAAAGCATGTCTAGAGCTCTTTATAGCATTTGACAAAGTTTGAAGCCTAATGTGACCTAATGTGTAACGTCCTCCACAAGTGAGTGTCGCATACAAGTGAGTGTCGCACGCAATTGACAGATCATAACAAACTTTCTAACAACAACAACTATAGACTAGAAAATCAATTAAATTAATTATACACCTATTCTAACGTGGTTGTACACCGAGTCGTGAATGTCACCGAGTCGTGAAACTTTTTTATACCCACCACTGTAAGGTATAATTAAACAACCACAACATGTATTAAAACTAAAACTATTCAGAATCTGATGAGCTAAGTACTTCTATGACCTCCTGACAAGTTCGTGCATTATGGCCAGCCCCCCCGCAAGTGCCACAATGTCGTACACCTGGTTGCCCCTCATTCCTACCAACCCCTCCAGAGCGCTTCTCGCGATTTATTTGCTCCGTAACTGCCCTTTGGGACAAATCATCATGTGCATCCCCTACAGAAAGTGCACACCCTTGACAGACACGAGACTTTTTAGCCCTCCGGCGTTTGCTAAGAGCTTTGTTTGCTGCTCGAAGGGGTTCCAACATGCTTTCCCCCACGCGATTCAAGGATATAATTTGCCATATCCTCCACACTAGCAAGCCGAGGTGCATCCATATCCAATATATTTCGAATAATCACTTCCTCTTCTAGCTCAGTCAATTTAAGACTATTGGCTTTGGTTTCGCGTCGAGAAGGTCGGCCGGCCATTCTATCAGTAAGCGTAGAATAAGGCACTTTATATAGTATTGATGCAGACCTGCGATTAAGCGATTTACATGTTTGAAGAGCCTCAATAGCTAGAATGATTCGCGCTTCTTGGGTTTGGATTTCCATTGGTAGTTGTGGAGGAAACACGTGTTGAAGTTCGTAGGTAGCTAAGTAGGGAAAAGTTCACGACTCGGTGACATTCACGACTTGGTGTACAACCACGACTCGGTGTACAACCACGTTATAGTATCTTCGTAATCCCTTTGACATGTGCGAGCATTATGCCCAGTCTTACCACACATTCTGCAACGTCGTTGCTGTCTTTCAACCCCGCCACCCTGTCATAGTTCTTGAGATATCTGCTCTTCCACAGCTAGCTGAGCAATTACATCCTGCCCTTCTTGAATTGTAAGGCACCCTCCTTGTTGTATATGCTTTTTTTTTCACTTTTTGCGCTGACTTGCAACTTTATTTGCTTGTTGTAAGGCCTGAACTTCCGCCTTCATTAGAACAGCAGAATGCACCATTGTTTGAACACCTCTTAACAACTGGTCTAGCGCATTGTTAATAGGAGTTGGTGAGCTATTTTGATGGCATATAATGCGATCTTTAAGATGCATAGTTTGATGTAACGCTGACTTCTAAACGATAGAAGACACAGAGGTTCTCTTGCGTAAAGGTTTACTTATCAGAGGAGGCAGGGGATCAGACACAAAGGCTTCAAGTAACACGTTACTAGTATATAACAAATACTGTATTGAGTTGAGCACGAAGCTCCTATCTAAGGAAATACTATCTACTTATATAGTGGCGTCGTGCCTAGTGGACTCTTGGGAACTCACTCGAGTCCTCGGAGTCCTGGACTCTTAGGACTCTTCTCATCATCCTGCGAGTCCATCACGTGCCTAGTGGACTCCTGGGAACTCACTCGAGTCCTCGGAGTCCTGGACTCTTAGGACTCTTCTCATCATCCTGCGAGTCCGTCACGTGATACTTTCGGAACTACTATTCCCCGCTGCCCCTCCAGGTACCAGGGCCGGTCTCATGCGACCTCCCTCCTTCCTGTCCTGTAGTTGGCCAGCCTTCTTGTTCCGTCGTAACACTCGCTCCCTTCCCCTGGGCATTCGTCTCGAATCCTATAAGTACGTCCATGTCCCCGGGACTCTGCTGCTCCTCAGCAAGTCCTTCAACATGCAACATGCCTACTGACACTGCCCGCAAACTCCAGGAACGCAACGATCTTGTCCGTCGAATAAAGAACCACGGATACGAACTACCCGAAATGGATTCTTGCTCGAACTGCGTGAGGTGAAACATTACTTGCGTGTCGTCTCCAAATGATTCACGGCGGTGCGCCGAGTGCGTTCGTCGCAACTTGAAAGAAAAGTGTGACTGTATGGGTCCTGAGCATCCCGACTGGGTGAAGCTCGAACGGGAGGAGGATCGCCTGGATCGCGAAGAGGAAGAAACCCTTTCGAAGTTACTTCGTCTGCGGAAGCAGAAACGCCTCATCCGAACCCGTGGTAAAGATATGCTCCGGCGAGGTTTGAAAACCCTCGACGAGCTTGATGCGGCAGAGGAGGCCGAACGTGTGGCTGCTGAGAAGCGTGACGCTGTTGAGGCTGAGGAACAGGCAGTTAGCGCTGCCTCCTCATCTGTGACCGGGGCCCTCGCTTCCTCCGATCCACTGGCCTACTCCCCTGCATCTTGGGATCAATGGCTGGCGGATGGCGGCGTCGATATTCCTCCAGCAGTTCTTTGCTGATGTTCCTTGTTGGTTCCCACGAATTATCCGTAGGTTCGTAATTTTCCCATTTTATCAAAAACTCTTCTCGACGTCCTACTAACCTTCTGTCTAGGATCGCTTCGACCTCATATTCGATTATCTCATTCTCGGGTTGGAGTTCGGTGTCGGTCGCAATTGGGGTATTTCCTCTTGCTGGTTCCAGTAGTGAGACATGAAATACCGGGTGTAGTCTAGACTTCTTGGGTAGCTGCAGTCTGTAATTAACTGAGCTGACTTTGTTCAATATTTTGAATGGTCCCAATTTCTTGAAGTCCAACTTTGTGCTTGGTCGTTTCGTTTTGATATGTTTCCGGAGTAGGTATACTTTATCCCCCTCCTTGAAGGCAGGTTCCATACTGCGCTTCTTGTTTGCGTATGCGGCGGATCGTTCATTTAAGAATTGGATGTCCGTCGCAAGTTGTTCGTGGAACGATTTCAGTTGTTCCACCACGATCAGGGCTTGTTCAGCTCGTGATTCATCCGGTCTTGGTTGCCTATATGCTTCTGGCTGGTAGCCATAATTGGCAAAGAACGGTGAGACTTTCGTTGCTTCTGTCATCGCGCTGTTATATGCAAACTGTGCGATGGGTAAGATCTGAACCCAGTTATCCTGTTGATGATTGACATAGCTTCGCAGGTACTGTTCAAGGGTCTGATTTAATCTTTCTGTTTGGCCGTCTGTCTGGGGATGAAAAGCTGTTGACAGCTTATGATTTGTTCCCAGTAGCGCCATCAATGATTTCCAGAATTTCGAAGTAAAGAGCTTGTCTCTATCTGAGATGATTTCTTCTGGCATCCCATGATCGGCTAATATGACTCGAATAAAGGTATATGCGAGCGCCTCGGCATCGCTAGCTTCTAGATATGGTATAAACTTCCCATATTTCGTGAGTCTTTCCGTGATGACGAGGATAGAGTCATATTCTATTCCTGTTAACGGGTCCTTGGAGGGTGGAAGCTTGACGATGAAGTCCAAAGCTATTGATTTCCACGCTCCTTTTGGTACTGGTGTCGACTTGAGTTGTCCGTATGGCAGATGCCTATTGGATTTTGACTTGCTGCAAATGTCGCACTCTCTTACCACTGTCTCTACCTGCTTCCTCATACCTGGGAAGTAGTAGTGTCGGGTGATTCGTTCGAAGGTTCGTGTTACTCCCTGATGACCGTGTGCTGGTAACGAGTGTTGTTCTTGCACCAGCGGGCGTCTCATTTGACTTGGGACATACACTAACCCTTTGTATCGAATCAATCCTTGTTCGTCGATGGCGAAGTTGCCTTCGACTTTGGACAAGACTCGCTTGGCGCATTCGTCTGTTGCGTAAGCTTTCTTGAGTCTTTCCTCGAGTTCTGTATCTTCGATGACTGAGATCGTCGCTAGTAACTCATTGTACTGTATTCCTGCATCTGTTTTCTTCAGAATTGCTCTAGGTCTTTCTTCCTTTGGGCCGGCGTAGTCGGTCCGTCTGCTGAGAGCGTCTGCTCTTGCATTCTCGGAGCCCTTGCGATAGGTTATCGTGAAGTTGTAGGCTGCGAGGGTTTCTGCCCAGCGGACTTGTCTGCGGTTTAAAACCTTGGTCGTGGTGAAGTATATGAGGTTCTTGTGATCCGTCCATACCTGCACCGGGTAGGTGGGTCCCTCAAGATATACTCGCCACTGCTCAAAGGCAACGACAATAGCCAGTAGCTCCTTGTCGTGGATGTCGTAATTGAGTTCCGCGGGTGACAGTTTCCTAGAGTAGTACGCGATTGGTTTGAACTTACCGTTCTCGTCTGGTTGATTCAGACATGCTCCAATTGCGAAGTCAGAAGAGTCCGTTTCGAGGATGATCTTCTTTGCAGGGTCAAATGTAGCAAGGATAGGTGCTTCCGTGAACTTCGTCTTAAGTTCCTGGAAAGCAGCCTCTGCCTTGTCCGTCCATTTGAATTCGAGATCCTTTCTGGTAAGCTCCGTGAGTGGTTGAGCTACCTTGGAATATCCCGAGATGAATCTTCGGTAGAAGTTGGCGAAGCCTAGGAAGGCTTGCACTTCCTTGACCGTGGTCGGTGTTGGCCATTCCAACACTGCCGTTACTTTTGCTTGGTCCATCTTGATGCCGTGCGTTCCAATAATGTAACCCAAGAATTCGACTTGGTTTTTATGGAACTCGCACTTCTCTGGTTTGAGGAGTAAGCTGTACTCCTTTAGTTTCTTCAGGACGAGTTTGACATGTTTGACATGCTCCTCCTTGGTTGCTGAATACACCAGGACATCGTCTAGGTAGACAATGGTAAAGATGTCTAAGTATTCGTGCAAAGCATCATTCATCAGTCGTTGCATAGATGCGGGTGCGTTTGTTAGCCCAAAGGGCATGACTTGATACTCGAA